CCGGCCTCGCTCCGTTCCCACGGCTCTCGGCCCCGCCACCACTCGTCACAATAACTATCTAATATCTGACTGAATAAACTATAACTATTAACACGGCATTTGAATAATGACTTACTTGTTATATTGTCTATTAAATTACACAAATTAATTTTGCCATTAGTAGTGCTGCAACCGAAATACATAATTCAGATCACAAATAATAATCACGGACTGTCATATAGTAAATGTGGTAATTACGACATGGTGTGAATGTAGCATAAGATTCCCAACCAAACACTGTGAGTATACTAACGAAGAAGTGCCTAACTGGGACCAATAAAATGATGACAAACGCATTCTCAACGCTAAACATGAGTTCAGCAAGCAAACCTCTAGTCTCCTAAAACACACACTGCAGCACAGTGCCAACTGGGATTCTCATAAATACATATTCCAAAGATTCAGATATGCTTCTCTGTGTTGTAGTATAGGTTTATTTTAAGCATTAGTGCATAATTAAAGCAATTTGAGAATGCACAGGATGACAAATCTCACTAACCACACTTTATACCACAAAGGCAGATCCAAAAAATTCCATGCATGTATACCACACAGAGCACTACAACGTTATGCCAGGAGGCTGTTACTAACTTGGCAGGAGTGTTGGTAATAACCTACAATGGGCGAAAGGAAACAGAAACAAGGACATTGGTTAGAAACTCATATAAACTTAACATGGAAGGGTTGTGCCAGTGAAAGTTCTTCAAAATTAAGAATTTCATCAGATTTTCAAGGTGCAGTGTGTAATTTCCGAATTGTGAAAATAATGCTGGTTCAAACACTTCCTGTCTTACACAGGATGTCCTGCACTAAACTCAAGCCACTGGTTGACCCAAGCTGGGCTGCTCAAATAGACACATTCTCTTTGTGGCACAGAAATTACATACTTCACCTTTTAGGAAAAGGGAAAACGTTAGTGTGTTTGAGTGTCAGTGTGTGTGTGTGTGTTTGGCATGAGTGACATGTAGCGAGTAGCAAGTCGCCTTTCAAAGAGGCAAATAAATAAATAACTGAATGCAACAGACAAACGAGTTTTCATAAGAGTGTCTCCCTGCAAAGATGTGATCGGAGGGAGTGAGGGGGGTGTATCAGTGTAGTTAGTAAACTGAACCCTGAAATTCCATGACCTTTTAAGAGGAGAGCGGTGACAGGTGCTCTCTCACCCCTCTCCATCCATATCACTCGACGGCCTGAGATTTCCTCTGTGCTGAGGCACACGCTAAGACCCTTTTCACCGCATATGAGGAAGAGAGTAAACGGAGAGGAGTACAGGACATTGTCATCCATTTACCTAATCCACAACAGTACTGCCAAAGTGCATTGCTTTGAGGTTACAATGCAGAAGTGAAACTGTCAAACTGGGAAAGTGATATAGTGCTTTTAATGTCTCAATACGACAGCTTGCTTTGGTTAGCAAAACATGAATTTATGCAGATACAAATCTGGGGTCTGTTTTCAAAAGTTTGTCAGATTTTTAAAATGCTTTTGAAATACATCTCATGTTTACCCAGGAATTCATTTATTTGATCAGAAATACAGTACAATTGTGAAATAGTACTACAATTTAAACTACCTGTTTTTATTCATGTGATGACTGAATTTTCAGCAGTCATTCTTTGGTGTCACATGATCCTTCAGAAATCATTCTGATATGATATTTTGGTGCTCAAGAAATATTTGAAGAGTTCAGATACAAAGGCCTCTAAGTGCCATCTGAAATTTTCTTCGAAAATGAGCATTCTTCTAAGGTTCCTATGTTTATGTTCAGTTATTCATTGCCATTATAGTGAAATTACTGAAACTAAACATAGGAGCCTGATAAAAATTCTCATTTCAGAAGAAAATTTCAAACAGCACATTGCATCTGAACTCTTCATTTGTTATCAGTGTCTTACTATTATCAATAAAAACAGTTGTGCTGCTTAATATATTTGTGGAAACCATGAAACACTTTCTTCGATCAATAGAAAGTAAAAAAAAAAAAACTGCATTTATTTGAAAAATAAATATTTTGTTACACTACACATGTCTTTATGGTCACTTCTGATCAATTTAATGCATCCTTGCTAAATATAATTAACATGTATTCATTTCTTACAAAAGAAAAAAAATCTTACTGACCCCAACATTTTGGAGGAACAGAGGTGTATTTTCCATTTTGACAGGCAATTTTTAAATCTAACCCCTCTGGTGAATGCATTATCTGGTATAACATGATCGCTGTACCTGAAGGAGGGCCACCTCCAACTGAAGCCTCAGCTCAAATTTGTCTTGCACGTTCCTTCAGAGGCTTGAAGCTTAAACTAGATCCTCCTCTGGCCTGCTAATGCCAGTGGGGAATAGGGTCAATGTAACAGAAATAACCTCTCTTTTCTGAATGTTGCATGGCCACTGTCATTCTTCTGTCAAGAGCAACGTTAGCAACCAGGTGGGGCTGAACTATAACCGGCCCACTGATTCTAACCTCTTTTAGAAACTCTACACTGTTAATTTAGAATTAAACACTATATTTTTAAATAGGACACCTGGCTGCTAGTGTCAGATCTCAGTCGTTCTGTGATTACATACCCACTAGGCATGCCTGACCCCGGGCTCTTAACCCTCTCCTGCAGCATGGCCATCTCTTGTAATGTCTCTGCAGAGTACAGACCGATGGGGGAGTTATACTGCTGGCTTTTTTGCCCAGAGGAGGATTTGTCCCTCGGAGCAGCTAAATGCCTTTGAGCAGGCAAAGAAGCTTCTCCGCTACTGCTCACCACAGTGCTATAGGACTGGTTGGTGTGCTTGCTTGAGTAGCTGGAGTTTGTCTTAGCAGAAACCGAGAGAGCCCCATTCATTTGCACAGGCTGATCCTTAAAGGGAAACGTGCATGTGTGTGGACAGTGTTGAGAAAGAAAGAACAGAAGGAGCCGGTCAGAGGAAAGCTTAGAATGACAATAATTTAAGTTAACACTATGTAAACTACAAAAATGTATTTGAAAATTGTTGACTTGATGTTTTACTGAAAGCAAAAGGAATATTTTACCACACAAAAAAAAGAAAATTATATCATAATTTACAGTATGTCTAGATTTTTTTTATAGCCCCGATTTGTATTCATTGTACTGAAGTGCAGGAATGGCATTTTGAAAAATATCTCCTTTTTGTTGAAACATATAAGAAAGATTGATTATATTGATTTGTAACCACACAAAGGTGGGAAATGGCTAATGTTTTGAAGAAATAACTTATTCTCTACCTTCTTTAACATAATATGAGTTTGTACACTACCATTCAAAATAGATTTTTTTAATATATATTTTTAAAAGTCTCTTCTGCTCAACAAGACTGCATTTATTTGATCAAAATACAGTAAAAACTGTAAATATTATTACAACTTAAAATAATTGTTTTTTATTAAATATATATTTAAAATGTAATTTATACCTGTGATGGCAAATCTGAATTTACTCCGGTCTTCAATGTCACATGATCTTTCAGAAATCATTCTAATATTTGCTGCTCAAGACATATTTCTTAATATTATCAGTGTTGTAAAGAGTTGCTTAATATTTTTGTGGAAACTGTGATTAACTGTGAAATATTATAAATGTCTTTTGCATCTTTTCTGAATAAGTATTAATTTCTATTAAAAAAATACCCTAAATTTTGAACGATAATGTATGTACTAATCAGGGTTCTGAAACAGAGGGTTTATGATCTTTCTTTTTATGTGACTAACACAATATTTGTTATTAAATGGCAAACTAATTGTGAAGAGCAATACATTAACAATGTTTAGTTAACTTTTTGCTGGAATGTGCAAAGTGAAAACCAGCAGGGGGCATCATAAGGCTTTTTACATGTAGTAGAACATTTGTACAGATAGCATACATGAAAAAGGCATCCTGAGTTGAGAGAAAACCAAAGAACAGAATCTTTTATCTTACCCTCTAAAAATATTTTTTTTTAAATAAAAAACCCTTTTAACTGAGGACTTCAGCTGAAGCTTGCACTAAGGCTTTCTCTAGCTTTTACATTTCATGAACAATCATGTGGAATGTATGACCTGTGCTTGACTTAAAGTATGTGAATGCACGAACATATACTGTATGCAGATATATGTAGAATGCATGACAGTGAGTAACATGTGACAGACCTTCTGATGAGGGATCACAGGCATAGGGGAGTCAATCCTTGGTGTTGTCATGGGAAATGGAGTGGGCCGCTTTGACCTGTGATAAAACAGAGTGAGCATTTTAAGAAAATGACAGAAGTGCTAAAGACAGACTGTCTGGACCACATCTTTTATGACAAAATTGCAATGTCAAGTGGTGAACTATAAACATTTCACACACAGTTCTACATAAATGATGCAGCCATGTACAAACTTGTGGCAAACATTTTCAGTTTTCCAGGTCTCTCGACTTTCCTTTGAAATTGAACACTGTCACAATAACAACATAATGAATGCCATCCACAACAGAAGCAGTTTTCGTTGCTATCAGCTATCAAAAAAATGCTTTTGTCCAAACAGACTTTGTGCCAAATTGAACCTTTTCAGAAGAAAAAAATAAAAACATTACTTGCCTTGTACACAAAAGGGAAAAACTAGCATACTTTTTTTTGAAAATTTGTGCAAAAAGAAAAGCACAAAGAACAATTGACAAAAGAGAAGTCCTTGGAACACAGTAAAGACAAAAGATACGTTTTGACAACAACGTACTGTACATAACGTATCTTGAAAAGTGTTAAAGTTTATCCCACCCTACATGTCCACTTTCTAACAACAACTCTTGGAGAGGGAACTCTGGGATCTATTAAGAGTGTTAAAGCAAAGGAAGGATGGTCCGGTGTAATCCCTGCAGGTATGCTCAAAGAGGGGAAATAAAGGTGAACATGCCTTTTTGGGGTTTTGCTCATGATAAAGTGAACTAACTGTAAACCTGATTTAAGAACTAAGACACATCAGAATTGCAACCTGCGCTGGAGAGATCAAGGATGTTTTTACAAGCTCATATATTTCACGTATCTCACGGATGACTAGTGCAGACATGGTTTATGAGGAAGACACTATCCCAGGCATGTCACTCTCTCTGCAGCTTCATCTGTTGATAACTGATATTTATATTACATGCCTAGAATAAATGGCAGATATCTTTCATTCCGCTCTTTTGATTAGTTGATCACTTTAACCAAGAGCCTTCAGTTGATATTTTTCTGCTCAAATTTGATGTTGTTCACATATGAAGCTGTTGACATGATCTTTTAAATGTGGCCCATACCAGACACTGTCTAAACAATCACATAACACACTTTAGCCTGTCATGTACATCATAACACCATCAGCACATTTCATAATGCAATATGATATCATATTTTGTTATTCATTCATTATTAGAATTTCGTCCAGTCTTCCAATCTCAAAACTCTGCATTAGCATTAGAATGAACAGTTTTGTTTCTTTGCAATGTTTAAAGAAAAACATTATTTGGCATCAATATATAAATTTCTGCTGTGAAGTTTGGGGTCAATTTCTGACTTTAAGTCTCTTATGCTTAACAAGGCTGCATTTATTTGATTAAAAATACAGTATATGTACAGAATACAATATACTGTAAAATACATAATATACTGTATTAAGATATTCTGTGAAGCAAAGCTGAATTTTCAGCATCATTACTCCAGTCTTCAGTGTCACATTATCCTTCAGAAATCATTCTGATATGCTGATTTGGTGCTCAAGAAACATTTCTTATTATCAATGACTTTATAAAAAATATTAACATTTTTGAGGAATTTAAAATCTTACTGATTCTTACTGATTACTTCAAAAATCTTACTTACGATAGTATAAAGAAATATTTTTTACACTTAAAGTGTATCAATATATTTTTTAATGCTTTTTCCACCCTTTAGATATTACCTTTCAGTGTAAAACTTCACATACTGCAATTCATACATACATTTTATGGGTAAATCTACCATACAATTAGGATGAATGCTGAGCTAGTAAAATGAATGTTGAGAAAAATAAAGTTGCATGGATTCTGATCTAACTACAAAGTTCGAAAACCATATCCATATATCAATAAGAAAGTTATGCAGATCAACTGCAGTGTGAACGTAACCTTGTTTAAAGCTATGTTGTGTCAGTACTGGGCAGCCTTGAGTTGGAGCAAAAGGCTGGAAAAAAGCTTATCAAGTTAACTGGTGTATGATGTTGCTGATGGATGAATGGACACTCGCCAGAGGCTGTGAAGTGTCACGAATCCGGTCCATGGACTTTTAGCCAATGAACACAAGAGGTCAGCATATTGACACTCACTCCACATAGACCATCACACATCACTTTGGACTACATCTACCATGCTCCACTGCACTGATTGCGCACTCACCTGCATCCAATAACTCACACTATATAACACTCACTCTGATCCTGCTCTAGTTGCCGAGTATTGTATGCGTTTATCTCTCTGCAAGCGATAGCTACTCTACGGAGCCTGTCTAGTTTTCCCACATGAAGGAAGATTCTAGAAGTGTGCATGTATTCATTGTCTGTTTTGAAGAGCTTTTTGTCTAGTAATGTTGAAAATGAGCAAAATTAATCAGCAGCCATTCTGACATGAGTCAATAAAATCACATGACCTTTCCTGGCTAAACACAAACAGAGCTCATCTAAACTCACACAAAATCTCAGTCACATATGTTTATGATATACTGAAGCTGCAGTCTGTTTACACTTCATAAAAATGAATCCCATGATTGACTACACTGAACAGACGAGGCCTGCTTTTATTACACTGCAGTGAATGAGCCAACAATAATTCAATTAATAATTTGTTTGTAGCCACTGAATTGACAGATCACACAAGAGAATGATAAAGGCTGCCCCAGAGCTGTCATTGAAGATAGATTGTTACAAACTTATGGCCGCCAAGACAGATATCAAATATCAGTGTAGATCACAGTGTAAACATGGCAGATCATTTTATTCCCTTCACCAGAATAGAAGAAACTCCAATTCAATCCAAGAGGCATCGCTCACATTTCTACAGACCCTACATGTGTCATACACAATACTGAATTTCCAAGCACTGCCACATCCTTCCTGGTTTCAAAAGGTTTTGGCAAGTACTATAATACACAAATGCATCAGAGAGAAGTAATACTAATTTTTTTAATTTAAATGTTAGAATTAGAATGATTTCTAAAGGATCATGTGACACTGAAGACTGAAGTAAAGTCTGCTGAAAATTCAGCTTCGCCATCACAGGAATAAATTACATTTTAATTATATTAAAATAAAAAAGTTTATTTTTTTTACATTGTAATAATATTTCACAATATTACTGCTTTTACTGTACTTCGTTCAAATAAATACAGTCTTGGTGAGCATAAGTGACATCTTTCCAAAATGTTTTTGAACAATTACACACACACACACACACACACACACACACACAGCTCCAAAACACTAACAATGCACTGTACCTTTGCATGGTAAGGGCCAGATTGAAGTTGGCAGACTTGATCTTGTTTTGGGCCTCCAGGTGTGTCATCCCCTCTGTGCTGACCCCATCAATGGCCACAATGATGTCACCCTGGATCAGGTTGCTGGAGGCTGCCTTGCTCCCTGGTGTAATCTGCCACAAACCAAACAAGCTTTTAAATGAAATACTGACAGGTCAGCACTTCTGCAAACACAATGCTTAGACAAGGTAATAATCTGGTCTTTATTTGTCTGCCTCCACATGAGATTGATAACGTAGCTTAGATGTATGTATGAATAAAGCTGAACAAAAGAGAAGACTCTGTCATTTACAGGTGCTTGCTTGATACCCTCTCAATAAAATCAGTGGAGGATAAAAACACACACGGATCCTGAATCCATGACAGCTGGGTGCACAAAGAGATCTTAAGCACACATTTGGCATGCTGCATGCTTAGTGTTTGAACAGATAATGTGTTCCTCTTGCTAAAAATAAGACTGCGTTTGCAGAATAAAGTCATGCGCTTTAGTCTACAGACCCTAAGTCTGAAATAATGCATATGAAGTATATAATGTTAATGAAACAAAAACATGTCTGGGTCATATTTTGCATGTTTTTAACAGGCTTTGTGAGATTTATTAATCTTTTTATACGTTCCACAAAAATTATATAAATTTAAAATTTGTTATATACACTAGCCTACTGTTAAAAGGTTTGAGGTCAGAAATATATATTTTTAAAGCAATTAATACTTTTATTCAGCAAGGATGCATTCAATTCATCAAAAGTGACAGTGAAGACATTTATAATGTTCAAATCAAATCAGAATATTAGAATCATTTCTGAAGGATCATGTGACAGAAGACTGGAGTAATGACTGCTGAAAATTCAGCTTTGCCATTAAATAATTTTTTTTTTTAGACATTTCACAGTTTTTACTGCACTTTTGATTTTGAATAAGATGAGCTGGTTATACATTTGTGTGTGGGGAAATTTTAATGTAATACAAATCTTAAAGTTCTTAATGTTTCTATTTTACCTAATTTAGATTGATTGATTTATTTAAATTTTGGGATGAAATACAACATATCTGTCATTTCAGATTTTAAATAAGGACATCAAAACCCTCATTGAACGCTTTATTGATGAAAAAAATTCTACAGATTGTGCATCTACGCAGACAATTTTTAGATTTTGAGTCAATTCTTTTCCTCCATGATATGTACGGAGCATGTTGCAGACCATCATTTAGGATTCTGTGATATACAATAGATACATGAAAACCTTCAGACTGCACATGGATGACACTGTGTCATCTCTATACCATAAAACTTTAATTTCTTCTAAATCTGGTGAGGTTTCAGCTGTGTTTTGAGTCAGAAGCATCTCTTTCAAGTCTGGCTGTGCACTTCTGAGAGCCAGCAATGTAGAAGTCTAAGGACTGTCTCATTTACAAAAAAAACAGTGTGAATGCAAAATGAATAAAGCTGATTTCAGTTGCGAGCATGTTTCTCTCTAATCTTGTCTGGCTAGATTAAGAAGTTGACACTGTGATATGATATGCTTCCTGAGTGACTACTAAAACTACCATTGAGAAGAACTGAAGAAATGACTCTGTATTTTTATAATTTTTTTGCATTTCCATCTGTTTTGAATTTTTAATGAATAGACGAATGCATGCACATCTGAGCCAAGGATTTAGACACAGAAGTGCCAAGACTGCAAAGCCTATTTCAAGAGCCTGAGGAGTAGACTAGCCATAACAAGAAAATGAGAAGTATGTGTCTGAAACAGCATACAAGACATATAAGATTACTCTGTGAAAGTTAGTTTGTTGTCAATTATCCAGAAGCTATCAAGCAGTAAGATGTTAATTTAGAGTACAATAACCACATTTAAAGCTTAGAAACTACAGAAAGGTGATTTTGAGAAATGTCAGCTTTTTTTTATGTTTTTGGTCACCAAACATTTTTTAATGTTCTATAATAATAAGTCAGGTTAACACAGGTTTGGAATAACATGAGAGTAAGTAGGCCTAAATGATGACAGAATTTCCATTTTGGGGTGAACTATCCCCTCTAAAGTGCTTAACTCCAAACTACAACACTAATAGAACAATCAAATCAACTAATTTAATCAGTTCATGGGCCACCTTTGGTATCATCTGAAATTAAAGCTACTTAACATTAAGTAAGACAAACACACTGTCCAAATTTATGGATGTCCAAATGTAATGATTTCCCCCACAGAGTTCAATCAAACACTTGAAATTACTACAATCATGCAACTTTATCAAAGATACAAATATCTACTTTTTGAAGTTGCATTTAAATTCCACTTGGCTTAGAAATCTGAGGGATGTGCAAATGGATGAATGCTTTTGTTTCTTAAGGTCCTGTCACGTTAGCAAAAAAGGTCCATTGTTAATTGACATTAGCAATGTACTGTATGAAGCACAGTTTACATATAAGTCATTTTCAAACCAATTAGCTTTCTGTTGGTCACTGCAGTGAATATCACATGTCCAAATTGAACCCATTGTGAAATTCCAGATTGCATGGATTTCTATTGAAATGACAGAATTTCACTGTCCAAAATCACCAGTATGACGGTAAATGTGGCCACAACTTTATTGATACAGCCGTTATTCTCATCTGATACTTTTATCAGTCTCCTCCTGGTACATCAAAGGCGAGACATTTAATAATATAGGGATTAACTAGTAATCAGCATAAAAAAAAGATTAAAACTATCATGCATCAAGGATTTCTGGTTACAAGTGTAAAGCTGATAATTGTTAGGCAAACATAGAATCTTTGATTGCATGCCTTGAGTGTTTGCTTGTGAAATATTTTGGTTAATTTGATTATGCTTTCAGCTGCCAATAAGAGCACAGCACTCTTAGCTGTGTTGTTTATCTTATTTACTCATGTTTACCCATTACACATATGCACAAAATCAAAAAACAAGAAAAAGCATGCAGATTCAACATCATCTTGATAATTCAGTCCATAAAACCTCATAAATCAGTGCCGTTACTGGCTACTGTGTGTAATATCTTGTAAAAAATGTATCGGTATGTGACAGCTGTGTTTCCACTACTGTGGTCACGTCCACACTGTGGATGAGCTTAACGTGACCAATGCAATCCGACACCTGGATGGTCTATATATCCAGGCACTTCACACATACTCATGGGCAAATATGACAGATTGTAGTACTTCTTCTTGCATACTGCCACGATGGCACAGTTTTTGATAATCATTTTCTCAAATGAATTACCAGCTCAAGTTCACTGACCATGTTTATGAACCTAATATAACTGCAGCCACCAACTGCAGAGCTCTTATCCTCTGGCACAAATTCACAAATAACTGAAGTCTGTCTCATATGCTTATTGAGGTACAAGCCTGTAAAAATAAGCCACACTAGGTTTAGCAAAAAACCTCTGCTGGTCTGGTTATCTAACATCCAACCTTTCGAGGTTGGAATGATTATGCTCACAGTTGGCCACGATGAGTCTAAAATAGATTTGAATGACTTCCTCCTTCTTTCAAAATGGTGTTCTGTGTATATATATATATATATAACTACCCACAGTGGGTAGCAATTGCAGTCTTTTTCCTGCTTGACAGCTGCTTTAGTTGTGTCTGTGTGAATGGGTGCTACCCACTAGAGTGCAGGGGTTGTTTTAAGAGTCTTCTTCCTCTATAAATGTCAAGTCTAATTGCCACATCTAGCAGGGGGAGTGTCCTGTCACCTTCAGAAAGGCCACTGTGATAGTAATGTTCATGTGCTAGGGGCAACATCCCCATAAAATGACATGTGCTACAATTTAAAAGGATTACTTCAGCCAAAATGAAAGTTATATGGGTTTGGAACGATAGTAATTGATGCCGGAATGTTCATTTCAGGGTGATTCGGCCCTTTAAGGCTTCATAATTTATAGGCCACATAATAAAAAACCTTAATGGCAGAAAAGAAAGACGTTTGGCAAAACTCATATTTACTTGTTTTAGTAAATGCACTGATACTGTTGCTTTGTGCCGGGTTAGCAAAACTAACGGCAAAAGGAAAAGGAAGGGAGCATGGGAAAACAAAGGCTTGGAGAGACTGAAGGGAGGATTACCAGGCCTGGCACACAAAACATGCATTAACTCTCCATTCTAGCTCATTCCAATTGATGCCTGGATGAATGAGTGGCTGATATGCCAGCTCAAATCTCCTGCTCACTCACAGCAGCACAAAGGAGCTGTTCTGTGGGTCAAGTAAATCATGGAGGGGAAAGTAGGCCACAGAGAAAACTATAGAGACATTTGATGGCTAGACATATGGACTGTAAAGGAAAAATAAAATGAAGCCAACATGAAATCAAAATGCATCCTATATACATTCTTAATAAACATTTCTGGTCTTATTGTGCATGATTGTTTTTGCACATCATTCCAGTGCAAAATATAATTGTAATCTTTCCTCTTTGCACAATCCAATCAATTCCTGATGGATAAAATCAAGATAATGGATAAAGTCCCACTATTTTTCTTCAGAGAATATCCTATTACTGTCAGACTCTGTTCCATGTTTTGTGTGTCTTGCTCCCCATGTGCCTTCCTATGCCCTTATTTGGTTAGTTTCCTGTTCCTGTCCTGATTAGTTAACTTCATTTGTCCCAGGTGTTTCCCTTGATGTTTCATTGCTCCCAGGTGTGTCTCGTCATCCCCTCCTCCTGTGTGTATAAATAGTGTTCCCTGTGTGTGTTCCAGCATCCGGTATTGAATGTTCATGTTGTCATGTATAGCGTGAGTGTTCCATGGTCCTTTGTGTCAATTAAACCCATTTGGATTAATGTACTCCTTGTCTCTCTCCATTCCTTGCTCCTCAGTCTGCTCAGCAGTGCACCCGTGACAATTACACTCAGCATGCACAACCATTCAAAAGTTTTGGGTCGGTAAGCTTTTTTTTGTTTGTTTTTGTTTTTGAAAGTGGTCGCTCATGTTCATCAAGGCTGTAAAACCAGTAATATTGTAAAATATTACAATTTAAAATAACTTATTGCAATATATTTTAAAATGTAGTTTTATACCTGTGATGGCAAAGCTGAATTTTCAGCATCATTACTCTAGTCTTCAGTGTCACATGATGATTTTGAACTT